GGAGCCCCGAGCCCTGCAGCAAACCTGAAAAGATTCTGAAGAAGGCTACCTATGATAAGGTGGGCGTGTCTGGGCCTGTGAGGATGGGGGTGGGTGGGTCCTGGAGCTGTACTGCCTGAGTGACCACAGCCCATTGATGTACTTCTCCCCAGGCTTACACGGACGAGCTGGTGGAGCTGCACCGGAGGCTGATGGCTCTGCGTGAGCGCAATGTGCTACAGCAGGTACTGCGCCTTCCCCTCCCGGGCCTGGGCATGGGGCACCCAGCTCTGTCCTCTGAGTCCACCAAACCCACCTTACAGATCGTCAATCTGATTGAGGAGACTGGTCACTTCAACGTCACCAACACCACCTTCGACTTTGACCTTTTCTCCTTGGACGAGAGCACCGTTCGCAAGCTGCAGAGCTGCCTGGAGGCCGTGGCCACATGACCCCGGCCACCACTGTGGAGCCACGGTGGGCATGGGCACGGGAGGGGCTGGGCATGAGGGCTGGCCCGCCATGACTCCCGCTCCCGGTACCACCCCCAGCTCACCATGGTGCCCTGGTACCCCTCAGTGGTTGGTGTTAAAGGGGCTGTGGGCCACACTTCCACAGGAGGGGGTGACACAGGACACATGTGGCTTACAGCCCCTTGTTTATTCTGCCAGTTATCCACTGTGGGTGGGGCTGAGTGGCAGGTTATTGCCTGGGCCTCTCTGAGTGGCCAGGATGACCACAGTCTTCCATGCAGTTCACAGAGCTCCCTCTGTGGCCTGCCTCCTAGACTCGAGGGTCTGTCAGCATGGCCAGGGCTGGCCATGAACACATGGCTCTGCCTGGCAGGCCCTGTGCCTAGTGTCCTGCCATGCAGCCTTGTGTATTGTGTGTGCTCCAAGTGTGTCCAGCAGCCGGGGAGGCTCATGCCACCCCCTGCTGGAGGCATGGAGGATCTCCCCTCTAGATTCCAGGATGCCACTGCCTCTCATGGCCCCAGGCCAGTGAACACTACGATGGGCACCAGTCTTGGGCTCCCAAGGGCCACCTGTGTAGCCATGTGCCAGCCAAGCACCCACAGTTCCAAGGCTGGCCGTGCTGGCACGCCTGGGCCACCATTTCCCATGGGCCACCTCCTCTGTTCTCTCGCTGATCAAGTCTTTGAACTTTGAAAACGAGCTTTTGCCAAATATGATAGGATGGTGTGTGCGAGGCGGGCCCAGTCCCAGACTGCCTCTGTCCCCAGCCAGATGGCCTCTGTCTCCACAGTGGGCCTTGAGAGGCTTTGGGCTTATGCCCTATAAACTGCCGAGGGCCGGGCCAGCCCCTTTCCCATGCCTGAGCTTGGAGTACCACCCCAACCCCAAGTCTAATTGTTGTCAGTGTTCGTGCCCCAAAGTGTTTGAAAGTGGCCAGAGCCCAAGCTGGCTCACAGTTGCCTCTCTGATGTTGCTTCCTCCCCAATGTGGGTTCACCCCTGGAGGCCTGGCCTCCCAGCTCCCTCTCCCTGTCAGGAACACCCCAGCCTCTAAGGCTTCCCTTACCCCCAGGAAAAGGAGAGCCCCACCCCCACCCCCAGCCCCTTTCTGACTCCCTCCAGCTGAGGAGGCAGGGCTTGGGTCCACATCTCTTCCCAGACAGGCCGACAATACTCTCCACCAGGCGTTCTGCAGCCTCCAAGCCTTTGGTCAGAAGGCCCTGGCATCGTGGCAGCCGTCGGCATCCACAGGGAATGTGCCAGGGTCACAAACAGCCTCAGCCCAGGGTACCATTCTTCCTCTTGCGGTCACCAGTGGCCCAGCCCTCTTGATACCCTGGGCCTCAGTGTCCAGCCCTTCCAGATGCTTCTGGGGCCCTCCTGGAAGCACCCACCCATCTCAGTTACCTCCTCTGGCCAGAAGGCCACACCACTGTCCTCCAGAGCCACTCTGGGGCCCATACTGGCTGTCTGGAAGCCTAACGAAGCAGCTTGCACCCAGAGCCCTGAGGGCTCTAGGGACCGGTCCATAGGAAGGGGTGGTACCAGGACCACCCCCATCCCGAGTCCCTGTGCTGCAGCCTCCTGAACCAGCTCACCACACTGGGTGCAAAGGTATTGGATACCTGTCCCTCCCCAGGGCTTCACAAGACATGTCTCCAGGAATAGACATGTCACCGGCCCAGACGAGCCCTGGACAGAGGGACAAAGAGAGCCGTATTTGTAATGAGCTGCAGGGCTGTTTGTCCCGCATTTTAAACTTTTTGTTAAATTGTGAAATTATGGAGGAGTTTTATAGAAAATAAAGTGAGATGGGAGTAGTGGGTCGCCCACCTTTGATTCAGTCACACTGGAAATAGCCACACCAGGAGCCTATGGGGATGCAGTTGTGCTCTTCCCTTGGGAACAGGTATTGAGGGCTGGTTACAGACATAGCTTGGGGTTGCAGAGGGGTCGATGGGTCGACAGAAGGGTGGAGATGGGAAGGAGGGGGTGGAGTGGAAGGAGGGCACCTTTTGCAGGGACCCCCAAGTTCCTGCACCTTGTAGAGCCTGTGAACCTCTGGTGTCGCCCTCACAGGATCTGTTTTCACAGACTTTGGATATGGGTGGCATACAGAAACCCAAAGCCTTGGCCACCATGCCCATGGGGCAGCCACCTCTTGAGTCCTTTTAGCAGGAGTAGTAGCTGGGGATTCATGCTCAGCAGTGAAAATGGACTCTTCTCGGGCCTCTAGGGCTTGACACTTCCTTCCCAGACCACTTTGCTTATCAGGATACAGCCCGCTAGACATGGTTCCAGAAAGCTGTTGGTGTGGTAACTGTCAGACGAGTGTTCACTCATGTTTGCTGTCTACCCCAGGTGGCAGGGCCCTGCAGAGAGATCCATGGGCAATTCAAAAAATCTGAGAGCTGGGAGACATTGAGAAAAAAATCACTGTATAAGCCTGGGAACCTGGGTTCCATTTCAGAATTCACAGTCCATGTGTAACGAAGTGTGTGTGTGTGTGTGTGCGCGCGCGCGCGTTGGGAAGTGCTGGTGTGTACCAGAGGACAGCTAGAGCTGCAGGTCCTTGTGAGCTGTGTGGTGTGATTGTGGGAGGGCAGCAAGCACTCATTAGCACTGAGCCCTCTCCACCCCATCCCCAAACAAGGCAGCAAAAGGGGCTCACTGACAGCCAGTGAGTTCAGTGAGAGACCCTGTTGTATTTAAAAAGATGAGAACAGTTCCCAAATGAGAACAAAGGTTTGCTCTCTGGTCTCCACAGGCATACATGTGCACTGTTTTTATTAAAGACATGTATGCACATAAAGTTTGAATTTACTAAATTTGGACTTAGCCAAGTTTGTTGGGAATCTGGATCACTGAATAATACTGTCTGTGGCTATAACAAATGACCTGAGACTGGGTAATTTATAAATAAGAAAAGATTTGTGTGGCTTGCAGTTCCGAAAGTGAGTTCCAGTCAGGCTGCTACATCAGCTTGGCTTCTGGCGAAGTCTTTATGTACGTTCCGTGAGTGCCTGAAGAGTTGGTGTGCACATGAAGAGAGAGGGCACCCAGAATCCCCAAACCTCCCAACAGCCATGGAGAGCCAAGCTCTGAGAGAGTGCTGCTGAGGGCAGGCCATGTTCCAACTGCAGCCTCGCCCTCTTCACACTCCAGTCATTTTTTGTTAACAGTGGTTTTGTTTTGAGACAGTGTTGTGTAGCCCAGGCTAGCCTTGAACTCCTGGTCCTCCTGCTTCTCCCTCCTGAATGCTGGGCTGGCAGGTGTGCACCCCACACTGGTCTGTATGGTACTGAGGATGAGAGCCCAGGACCCTGCACTAAATGAGCACTTTGCCCTGCACTCAGCAGCAGCCTGTGGTAGTGCTTACTCAGCTAATGTCCCAGTGGTGGTGATATCCCTTGAGGGATCATTGATGTTCTCATGTGAACATGACTGCTATCCTGGAGGCCATCCCATCCCCTGAGCTCACCATATTCTTTCTCATGTGTGTTCTTGCTAGTGTCGCCTACCTTATAACACAGCTACAGGACCACACCAAAGCCTCGCCTTGAAACCTTACCATGAACCACTAGTCTGCCTCACACAGAGGTGTTCCTTCCTACTAATGCTGGTCTGGACTGCCATCTCCACCTCCAGACAGGTATAAGAACTACCCATACTCAGGGGTTTCTGCAACTGTAGGTCTCAAATTCCTCAACTTCTCGTTTAGTGTGTAAGTGGATTAGAAGCAGCTCAGTAGTTAGGAGCATTTGCTGCTCTTACAGAGGACCCACGTTCAGTTCCCAGCACCCACTTGGCAGCTCACAACACTATAACTCAAGCTCCAGTCTAGAATCCCCAGTGAGGGGCTGAAGGCGTGGTCAGGGTGGAGCCCCCATAGAATCCCCAGTGAGGGGCTGGGGGCGTGGTCAGGGTGGAGCCCCCATAGAATCCCCAGTGAAGGGCTGGGGGCGTGGTCAGCGTGGAGCCCCCATAGAATCCCCAGTGAGGGGCTGGGGGCGTGGTCAGGGTGGAGTCCCACCTAGAATACCCCAGTGAAGGGCTGGAGGCCTGACTGAAAACTATTCTGGTGTAAGGGCCTGTGCACCAGACTATGGCCACGGGAAAAAAGAGTGTAGTTTTCAAAGTAAAAATAAAGTCTAGGGTGGGAGCCATTTCAGTTTGGGAGTTTTGCTTGAGGTGTCAACATGATCCTTGGGTCAGAGGTCACTACAATTTAGGATCTTATCCAGGCTTCTGAGGGGCCTCGGCCCTGCTGAGCACTGGGCAGTGTCCTGGACCTTTACCCGCTTCACACCAGTCACGACAGCTAGATGTTACCCAGTGTCCCTTGACAAAATCACCCCTGGGTGAGAGCCACCTCTTAAGCAAACACATTTAATTATTCCTTTACAATTGATTCCAACACTAGAGGGCAGGATATGCCTTCCGCCCAGGCCCTCACCCAGAGCACTGGGTAGAAATTGTCCTTTAATAGGCAGAATGAAAACCACGAACTACCAGCACCTGAGTGAAGACGGGCTGCACGGGGCTGCTAGGTGCTTATCTCGTAGAACTTCTGGATGTCCTCCTGGTATATCTTCGTCACAATGGCCCTGTTCAGTTTGGACATGGGCCCTGTGACAAAAGCAAGGCTGTGAGAGTCTCCTCGTATTCTACCCCAGGAGTTCTTCACAGACATCTGAGCCATGTGCATGTTAGGGGTGCATGGGAACTGGGGTTGGGAGAGAACTGGAGAGTAGAAACCCACTTTAAGGTACCTCATGAGTCCTTTCCTTCAGTCATGGGCCAGTGGTTAAAACAGGCATAGAGATGCCACCCCAGGGACCCAGGATCCAAACAGCCTCATGTACTATTTTTGTGGGCCCAGCCCCAAATCCTCCAACACTCAGATGCTGCCTCTGTACCTCCCCCAGAAAGTCAGGAATTGTGTCTGGAGTTGACCCATCTTCGTCTGTGATGAAAGTGTTGGGATTGGGATCAGCACACTGCATTTTGTACAAGCAGGGATTGGGTGTTGGAGGTGTTTTTAAAGGTTTATATTACACTATGTGTTCTGTGTGTGTGCATATGGAGGCCACAAGTGGGCATCAGATCCCTGGAGTTGGGGTTGGCAGATGGTTGTGAGCTGCCCAGTGTGTGTGTGGCCACTGGAAACAGAACTTGGATCTTCTACAAGAGCAGCAGATCCTTTTAACCTCTGAGCTCACCCGGCCCAGGGGGCGTCAGATGTCGTGCTTCATCAGCTTCATCACTCTCAGAGGGGCTCTCGCTCAACCCTGAGCTAAGTTGCTTGGCAGTGAACCCCAGGGATCCTCCTGTCTCTGTCCCCACAGCACCCATTTTTACGTGAGCCCATGTGGTCCTCAGGCACCAGCTCCCTTAGCCCACTTAGCTAGCATCTCCTGAGAGCTCCCGATGGTTTTGGTTTGGTTTGGTTTTTTTCCCAAGGCAGAGTCTCACTATGTAGCTCTGGCTTTCCTAGAACTCACACTATAGACCAGGCTGGCTTTGAACTCACAGAGATCTGCCTACCTCTGCCTCCTGAGTGCTAGGTTAAAGGTGTGTGCCTCTACTTCTAGCCCCACCCCCGGTTTTTGGAAATGGTCTCATTCTTTGACCTGGTGCTGACCAAGTAGGCAAAGATGATGGTTTAGGGAGGATCAGGGATTCTCCAGTCTCAGCCTCCCTAGCCCTGGGAGAGAAGTCAGTGGTTAGAACACTGCTGCTCCTGCAGAGGATCTGGGTTCACTTCTCAGCACCCACATGGTAGCTCACAACCACTGTGACTCCAGTCCCAGGGAATCTGACGCCCTTGTCTGGCCTCTGTGGGCACAGGACAGACATGGTAGATCATTCATACATTCATACACATAAAAATAAAAGGAACTTTAAAGGTCAAACAGCATGCTCTGGTTTGTTGTTTGCTTGTAAATGGTGTCTGGGGACTCAAACTCAGGTCTTCAAGGTTGCACAGTCAGCACCCTTACAAACTGAGCCATCTCCCCAACCCCAGGGAGACAGGATCTCACTCTCTACCCTGGGCAGCTCCTGAACTCTAGATTCTCCTGCCTGGCTCCCACGTGCTCGGCTCATAGGCGTGTACCACCACACTTGTTTTAAATGTGTTTTGTTGGAAAAATCAGCTAAAGCCACATGACCACAGACCCTTCCCATACTCAGCGGAAGCCTGGGGCTGGGAGGCTGAGCGGGCCCATGACCCACCCATACCTGCCGTTCACTCACCGAGCTCCCCACCGCCAACAGAGAAATCGCTGTCTAGAACGACCCACTTAATGATCTTGGCGCCCTCCGAGGGTGCCTCCGCATTCACGTCCTGGATGCCCTGGTTGATGAACTCTGTGACCAAGGGGTCACGGTTTTCTAGGACATCTGTCAGCCAGGTGGACCGGCTCCGCAGCTTCCGGCAACAGGCCACGGCCTCGCTGGTCAGGGCGCCCCGAGCCTCTCCAGTCTCCGGATTGATCTGACACTGCGGAGGCAGGCGGGCAGAGTTGGTGTTCTGTGAGCATCCTTCCAGGCCCATTCCCATGGTACGCGCGTCCTTCAGGCTGCAGTGGCCAGTGTATCAGAAAGTCCCGCCAAACCCACTAGGAAGGGGCAGAGCATGCAGCTCAGAGGCCATGCAAGCCTACAGAGGCATCTGGGAGTCAGTTCTCGCCTTCCACCATGTGTGTCCTGGGGATGGAACTCAAGTCATCAGGCTTAGCACAGAGACAGCTCTCCAGTGCAGCCCACCTTCCCCTCAGCCTGGCTGTGGTTGATATCCTCAACTTGGTACCTTGATGCCAATGGCCCTGTGATCATGCTTTGAGGGACACTGGTCTACAGGGAATATTCTAGATTCTTCTATGCTCTGAGGCACTCTACCTCTCCACAGAACCCACAGCCAGAGCTGGGGTGTGACTCCACAGGAAAGCTGACAGAGGGTAAATGTTTAGTGTTGACAGAACAGGATCTGCAGTCACCACGACAACACACCCCTGGAGTGTGTCTGGGTTTCCAGCATAACGGAGAGGAATGTGGGCAGGGGTCCCTGGGGGGAGCAGGGCTGAGAGGTGACTCAGTGGGTGAAGGCCCTGCTAGGCCAAGGCAGTGGGTTCCATCTCTGGGACTGTGTGCAGGTGGGAGGAGAGGATGCAGTCCACACAGGTGCTGTGGTACATGAACACAGACACTCAATAAAAAAAATTAAAAATTAAGCCAGACGATGGTGGTGCACACCTTTAATCCCAGCAGTCAGGAGGCAGAGGCAGGCGAATCTCTGTGTTCGAGGTCAGCCTGGTCTACAGAGTGAGTTCCAGGACAGCTTGAACTACACAGAGAAACCCTGTCTTGAAAACTAAAGCCAAAACAAAAGTGTGTGTGCACGCGCACGTGTGCGCACATGTGTGTGTGTGCGTGCATGAAATTCAGAGAGCATCAGTGCATTCCTCTGGCAGTGTCCTTTTTTGGTTTGAGGCATGGTCTCTTGTTGGCCTGTGGACTCGCTGGTGTGCTCCAGCGTGCCCAGGCTCCGGTACTCACTTTATGGACCGTCTGCCCTTGCCCTTCAATGGCTCTGGTTAGGTATTTAGTCACAGAGACAACAGCCACCAAAACGGTGACTGAGGAGCTGAATGACTCCCATCCAGCCCATCTCATTCGGTACTGTCAGAGACTTGCTCTGGGGGAGCCGCTGGGTACCTTTAACGTGAGGAGGGCGCACAGGTATGGGGCATCCTGGCCCACCAGCATCACGTAGCGCACAATGGGGATGCGCGTCTTCACTCGCTCCTCAATGGGACTCGGGTTGACCATTTCGCCCGAACTCAGCGTGATTATATCTGTGGCAGGAACGAGAAGCGTTTGTCTCTGAAAAGGCACATCGAGTAGTTTCTTGGGGCTGCTTGGGGTACATCCCCTGACATCCCCTCCTGGAGGGAGTGGGGCCAGCTCTTCTTCTTTGTGTCATATGCAGCCTGCACCTCTGCGTCATGTTCCTCACCGTTGATGTTCCCCATGACATAGAGGAACTTGTCAACATCCAAGAAGCCCAGGTCGTTTGTGTGTAGCCAGCCCTGGTTGTCCATCATCTTCTCCGTGCTTGCCTTGTCTTTGAGGTACCCCATGAAGATGTGGCGGCCCCACATAGACAACTTTCCGATGCCTTCGCGGTTCTCTTTTTCCACCTTTGTGTGACAGTTGGGCAGTGCCTTCCCACAGCTGTGGGCGTGGAGGGGATAGCAGGGATGGCATGCTCCCCACCAGGACATGATACCCCCTAGGGCCTCCCCTGTCTCCTCCTCTCCTACCCCCCTTACTGTCTCTCAGTCAAAACAAAACAGTGCAGAAAAATATGAAATAATTAAGGTTAAGGTGCCAACGTGCAGTCAGGACATACAACCAAATGTCCCCCTGCCTCCTCAGGATCAGACCGAGGCCCGACAGGCTGGTCATCCACCTCTCTCCACTGGGCACATCCTAAACAACCAATCAGAATGGGTTTGCTGTTTTAGCATTCAGCCCAAAGCTGGATGTGATGACACCTGCCTGTCGTCACAGTGCTTAGGAAAGTTTACTGTGTGAGACTAACCATAGCTGTGCAGGAAGATCCTGTCTCAGAAAACAAAATGCAACAAAGCCAGGGAAGGGGTAGGGGTTGGTGGCGCACGCCTTCTATCCCAGGACTTAGAGACAGAGGAAGGCAGATCTCTGAGTTCGAGGACAGCCTGGTCTACAGAGCGAGTTCCAGGACAGGCTCCAAAGCTACACAGAGAAACCCTTCAAAACTGCTGTGTCTCTCCTCAAGCACAACCCGAAGCAATGTGTAGAGAGGCCCCATCTCCCAGTCTGTTGCCAGGCTTGCTCTGAGGGAGGTTGCCCTTCATGTGTGGGTGCCCAGCACCTGCTTGGTACTCAGAGGGACCTGGATTCCACCTCCTCTCACCTCTGCCCCTCGCCGCAGAGAGAAACATCCAGGAGAAAGGTGAAGGGAAGCTTTGCCCACGGGACGCAGCAGTCCCTTGCTCAGGGGACCCCTGACCAGCTGCTGTCCTGAGGGGTGGGAAGGAGACAGAGCCTCCCACCCGACCCACCTCAGGAGTCGGAAAGCCTGGTGGCTGGACAGAGTGTGCAGTCCACTGCTCTCGGTCAAGCCGTACAGCTGAAAGATGGGGATGTTCAGGCCGAGGAAGAAGTCCACCGTGGCCCTCGGCAGCCCCAGACCCAGGTTCAGGAACTGCTGGCAATGGTTGAGACCCAGGAACTTCCTGGCAGGGTCGAAGGTCAGCCTCTTGGCCATGCCGAAGCACAGTGGCTGGTGGACCTGCCTTTAGAAGCGGAGCCATGGCCATGGTGTGATTGCTTCCCCGCCCCTGGTCTCTGTCCTCCCTGCCCCCAGAGCCTGCCGCACCCCTGCAGCCGCCTCCTGTGGGTGCTGAGTCCCACACGCATGGCCCAGCGGTCGATCTTCCTGCGGAAGGCGGTGGAGTCCAGGTGTTTGGTCTTCAGGTTGTCCAGCATACGGTCCCACACCCACGGGATGCCGCAGAACGTGGTGGGCTGGACTTCGCGGAGCATCTCTGTCAGGAAGCCCTGGATGGGACGGGATGGGGTGCTGGGGGACCCCCACGCACACAAGAGTCATGAGGCGGGAAGCTTCAGCATGGGGGCCAGGATGGGGCCAAGGACAGCGCAGGTGACAGGCAGCACCAGGCCACAGAGGCCCCTGTCCCAAGTGAGGGAGAGAAGAAAAGGGCCAGAAATGGGAAGGACAGAGGCTGTACCAGCTCTTGTTAGTTCGCCCCATGCTCATACCTGCCTCAGCTGGCCCAGAGACACCAAAGGATCCTTAGCCCCCTTTCCTTTGCTGCCCTCACCCCCAGAGCTCACTGTGCCAGGGGCTTGTGGTGGTCCACTCCCCTTCCCTGCCTCCGATGAGGGGAAGTAGACTGTTCCAGCCACGGAGATGGCCACCCACATATCTAAGATCTGGACCCCAGCGTAGCAGAGCGGCAGGTAGCTCACAAGGACCTCCTGACCATCAGGTGGACACTTGTACCCCAGGCTCTGAACGGTGGCTGCTGTGGTCCATGTGATCTGAAAGGCATTTCGCTAAGTCAGGCCTGGATCCTTAGTTCCAGGAGCCACCATGCTGGACCGGTCCCTCAGGTCCCTCGGGGAGCTGCACTCACGTTGTCGTGGCTGAGCATCATGACCTTTGGGGTCCCTATGGTGCCCTGGTTGTACACCAAAGCACAGCACTGGTTAGGCTTCTGTGAGTCGATGATTTGGTCCAGTTTTTCATCCGAGATGCCATCTGCGAGGTCCAGGAAGCCTTTCCACTGTAGAAAGGCTAGCCAATGGGCTTTGGGGGAGTCAAGGCTAGCCCAGAGACCCACCCAGCCCAGCCACCTCAGCTCCATCGGTACCCTGGAATATCAGTCAGGAAAAGGAAGGCCATTTGATAAATGTTCCAAAATAGAGGAACTGCAAGAACATAGTGCCAGACACGTAAGGACACACACTTAAAGAATCCCACTTGGGGTGGGGAAATTAAAAAAAAAATCCCACTTTGGCTTTGCTGGACTCTCAATGTCACCCAGCACCAGGCTTGGCCTCTCTGTCTGGGCCTGTGGCTGGCTTTCCATCTCTGACGTCCCTATCTGGGCATACCGAGTATAGATTGGGCTGTACTTCCTGGATGTCTTCTCTGTATTGTATGATGGCCTTGAGATGCTTCAGGTAGCCCTGGATCTGCAGGACACCATGGGATCAACACCAGCAAAGGGGGGGATGCCTGTAGCTCAGGCTGGACTCAAACTCACTATATAATGGAAAGTGACCTTGAAATCCTGACTGGTCTTACTACCACAGATGGTTTCCATGTTGCTGGGCATAGAACCCAGAGCCTCATCCATGCCAGGTGAGTACTGTGCCCACCGAGCTCAGTCCCAGTGTTGAATATATATATTCATTCTTAAAATACATATTCTTTTTAGTTTTATCATATGTGCGTCTGCACTGCTCCTGTACAAAGTGGAGGTCCAAAGGGGGTGTCCAGAACTGGAGCTACAGTAGGTGGTCCCAAGCCACTGTGTGGGTGATGAGAACCCAACCTGGGTCCTCTGCAGGTGCGGCCAGCGGAATGCTGCAAGTGCACACGCTTCTGAGCCAGCTCGTAGGCCCCTGCCCCAGCAGGCCCCACTGCTGAGACACGCCACCAGCCCGGTTTCTTACCATTCGTTTCTGTTTTATTTCACTTATGACTGTGTGTGTGTGTGTGTGTACATGCACGAATGCGCATGCTCACACATGCATGGCATTGCTGTTTTCCTCTATTGCTCTCCACCCATAGAATTTTTAAAATTTAGTTCTCTTACTGTGTTCATGATGCAGGCATGGTCATCCGGGGTCCCAGACCCCACGGACTGCCCAACAGAGTCCCAGATCTACATACCTGAGTGGAGGGGCATGAGCTCACTCAAGCATGTGGCTGGGGCAGGCCTGGCCTCTCTCCCCCACTCCCTCTGCCTTGCTAGAAACTGTTAGATTGCATTGCTAAAGCTACATGCCAAGGTCTGTTCCCTTACTTGCCCACTTTCTCCTTCTGTGACTGACTACCAAGGTCCAGCTATCAAAGTATGGAAGTCCAGCAGTCAGAACCCCTCTTTGGCTTACTTAATTAACATGGACAATTAAAATGAAACACCTCTTCCTACCAGGGTTTCCTGTTTTACCTTTATAAACTGCAATTTTCCTATTGGGTCCTGTCCTTTGTCCTCTGGGACAAACACCCTGCCCTTCTCCCTGTTTCCTTCCCCTGCCTTCTCTTTGTCTCTCGGTTTTGGGTGTCTTATGCCGATACCTGTCCTTTCCCTGGGAGCACCCAGAGCCCGTGCGCCCCAGGCTCTCACCTGGTTGACTTTCTGGAGCTGTTTGTCATTGTCCACCAAGATGATGTCCATCTTGGAGGCTTCGGCAATGACCTGGCACGCTTTGGGTGAGATGCTGCACAGGATACCCACAGAGATGCCGCTGGAAGCAGAATTCAGGGGCTGCAGACCTCGTGAGTGGGGGCTTTGGGGAACTGTGTGGTTCTTGGGGTCCTTCATTCCTCCTTGGAAGGTGGGGTTCAGGGTAACACCTTTCAAAGCTTCCACTAATGTTCCACGTGAGCTCAGGGATGGCTCAGTGCTAGGATATTGAAAGAATATCTAGAGGCAGGGGCATGAATGTTGGGCTCCAGAGAGTGTATATGAGTTTGATGGGGGAGAGAATGTCTGGAAGGGAGAATGAGCATAGTAAGGGCTGTGTCATTGACAAACCTTGTCAAGAACTGACTTCCACAGCCTGGTCTACAAGAGCTAGTTCCAGGACAGGAACCAAAAGCTACGGAGAAACTCTGTCTCGAAAAATAAAAAAATAAAAAAATAAAAAAAAAAAAGAACTGACTTCCACCTGGGCCAGGCTGAGTGCCCCTTACCCTGCCATGATGGCTCCAATGCTGGCAATCACCCACTCCGTGGAATTGAAGCCCATTATGCCCACACCATGGAAGCGTTCCAGGCCCACCTGAGAGAGGAGACACCTTTGAGAGACTCGGCTCAGCTATCCTCACCCTAACTTCACAGGAGTCTTTAGCTGGTAATCTCAGCCTCCTTCCCTGGACCATTCCTTCTCCAGCTCCAGATACCACATAGTAGTAGTGCTAAGCAGGGTATCTCTACCACACTCTTCCGTACCCATCTGTCCACCTTCCTATTATCCTCAGTGCTGTCAATCCACCACCCACCCACACATCCATCCGTCCATCCATCCATCCACCCACCCATCCACCCACCCACACATCCATCCATCCATCCATCCACCCACCCACCCATCCACCCACCCACCCACCCATCCACTCACCCACCCACCCACTGTCATCTCCCATGTTTCCCTACTCCCCAGACTGTATCTTTTGCATAGCATGTAGCCTCTGGCCCAGGGCCTTTGCATGCTGTGTGCCCTTGGCCTGGTATGTTCCTCCCTAGATTTCCCGATAGCTGCTTCCCCAACTTGGTTGAAATTTTACTGTCAGTGAAACCCTCCTTGGCTATCACACTTTAAAAATCCACTCTAACCTCCTGCTCTTTCTTCGTCAGGCTCCAGATCACTCATCCTGACCTTATTTACCAGTTTGACCCCGCAGGTCACTTCAGGTTTTGTGCCCTTCCCCATTCTGAAGGATGGACGTTTTTAAAGTCATTTACTCAACAAACGCCAGAGGGTGGAATGGTAACTTCCAGTGGAAACAGCCAACTAGCAAAGATGCTATCACAACACCAGGTAGCCAGAAAGACAGGGCAAGGAGATGGCTGTGCTGGCCACACACATAAGACACGTCCAACCTTGCGCTGACTGAGAGTTTTTTTTAGCAGAAATCATTCTTTGTTAAAAGACGTGCCTACATTTGTGCCTGTACACCGTATGTGCCCACAGAGGTCAGAAGGGGCATCTGGGTCCCTGGAGCTGGAACCACAGACAGTTGGGAGCCACCACCTGGAGGCTGGGAACTGAACCCTGGTCCTCTTCAAGAGCAGCCGGGGCGCTAACCGCTGAGCCACATCTCCAGTCCCTACTTCTCTATATTGCATGTAGGAAAGCATACAGTATACACACAACACATATGCCCTGTGTGAAGGTTCTCATATTTATGAGTATCACACGCTAGATTTCAATATTTATATGAATATATTTTTCTGTATGATATGGCAGTACACATGGGGCACACCTGATAGAGCTCTGCATTTTATACACTTATAAGATTAAAAGACACAAAATACATGTAATACAGAAACTTGCAAAACTACCCTCAAGCTCTGTGGACTCACACACTAATGCATGTCTGATATGCAGAATGACTCTTGTATGTGGGGAAACTGAGGCAGGGAGTGACAAGTAATCCACATGACTAATGGCAGATGTGACCCTCAGTGGTGCGAATGAGCAACCGGAAGTCGAGGGCGACAGTAGCCACGTCACGCGGTCCCATGCCGCTGGCAGCACAGCAGTTGGGGTGCGCACGCCCAGTACCTTGAGGAAGGCCTTGGCTGCGCGTCGGCAGGCCTCGTAGTATTCGATGTAGGTGAGCAGCTGCCAGCTCTTCTTGTACTTGGAGCCTATCGCCAGGTAGTGCGAGTACTTGGTGGCAGCCCTCATGATTAGGTCGGGCACGGTGACCGGAGGCTCATTCTCCACATTCTTGCTCATGCGCAGCCTTACCTCGCCATCAAGCTCTGTCGTCCAGTAGCAGCTACCTGTGACAGGGTCAGAGATCATTCCATGGGACGGGAGGAGGGATGGTGGTCACTGTCCCCAACACAAGAGGGCATGGGGTCAGAGGTCATTTCTTCCCCCCACCCCGTGAAGGTTGGACCGTAGAGGTCAGGGGTCACTGTCTCCAAACCCTCCAAGGCCAAAGGACAGGAGGGTTGATGTTCCCTGTCCCCTGACCCACAGAAAGGAGGACATGGAGTCACGGCGACTACGACCACAGGTCGACAAGGTCTGGATAGTTGGTCATCTGGCCACAGATACCATCGTTCCCCGGGTACAGCTGCCCCCTTCACAAGGTCTCACCCCCACTGGCCTCCCACCTGGGGCCTTTGTCTCTGCGTCTTGAGGTCTTTGTGACTTCTTCATTTTGTTGTAGATTTTGGTCTTCAGAATGGCTTTTGCTACATGAATGCTCCCACCCTCTGAGTCACCATGTTCCTTAGGGTCAGACATCCTCTTGCCAGGGACCAGGCACACGGGTGTTCAAACAAGGTGACAGGGGTCGGGTTGTGGGGGGAGTCAGGTGTACACAGCAGAGGTCCTGCCCCCTCACAGAGTTAAGTAGACAGTGGCGGAGTTGGCCCGGCAAAGATGTGAGAACCTACAGACCAGCTATGGGTGCTGGCACGGGAGACGAGACAAACTGGGTGTTAGCGAGGGCATCTCCTGCGTGGGAGGTGTGTGCAGGCGCGTTGTGGCCAGAGGTTGGAGGCGCGTGTCTTCCCTAGCCGCATCATCGGTCCCCACCATGCCCCCGACCCAAGCCTGGAGTTTGCCTGTTGTTGCTAGCTGCCAGTGCAAACTAGGGCTCCTCTCACAGGGGTGTGCTTTTACCCGGGGGTGGGGACTGAACTCAGATCCTCAGGTGAATAGCTACAGGAGACCCTGGGGAGGGGAGGAGGAGGCAAGAATGGGGTTTCTCAGTACCTTCTGTGCCTAGTGGACTGCTGCCAGGCGCTTCCCGAGAGAGGCTGGGGCTCATGGGGCCTTCAGCCCTCCCTCTCCCCACAGGCTCTCACTGCCTTGTCATCGGTAGGGCGGTGGTGACTCTGTCCGGCTCTGGCACCGCCTCCCGCTTTAGCCACAGAGACTTCAAGCACCCAGACTGGATGTCCTCTGGAACAATTCCCTTCTGCAGCCCGGCCCTTGTGACATCACTGCGTTCCATGAGCCAGGGCCGCAGTGGCAATGTGGCCCAAGGCCCCTTTTCAAGAAGCTAGCTTTGGGGGAACAGGAACAGGTGCAAGACCGGAGACTTGGCCTAACGCCACCAGCCAGGGAGCTCCCAAGGCCCTGGTCCCCAAAGGCTGGTGGCAAAGTTTTGGGCTCTGGTCTGACAGCCTGTGGGACTCCAGTGTCCCAAGGGCATGTCGGCCTACATGAGATCCTGTGTCATAAAAATGTAGAATGGCCCTGTGATCTTGAGTCCCCCTTCTGGGCATTTGCCAGAAACCATCAAAAGAAGGGACTTGGGGACGTTCCGTATCCACACCCATGCTGCAGCTGCCCAGGCCCATTCTCACTGAGAGATGAGGGATGGAGGGTGTGGGCCCTCCAGTCTCCACCCCAAAAAGGAGCAGCGACAGCACTAAGAAATGTCCCAGATGAGGGCATGCGCACCACTTGTAGGCTCCTTGAGCGAGTCACAGACAGGAAGTGCTTGGAGGGGTCCTCGGAAGGGAGGGGGTTGGGGCAGAGCTTCAGTGTGGCGAGATGGAAGGCAGGTTTTGGCACCGGACAGTGGCAGGGTTACACAGTGTGAAGGTGTTTTGTTTGTGTGAGGCAAGGTCTCACTTAGTTGGGACTGCCTTCGAATTTCCTGTGTCCAAGGATGACCTTGAACTCCCGATTCTCCTGCCTCCACCTTCCCTGGTGTTGGGACAGGTGTGTGCCACCTCGCCCAATTTGTGTGACATTTGGCGTGGGCCTGGGCCTTGTTCATTCTGCACAAGCGCCACCCACTGGGCTACAGCCCCAGATGCGATGGTAGATTTGTATGTGTGTGTGTGTATGTGTGTGTGTGTGTTTGCTTTAGGACTCCCAACAGGTACTTGAATGGGCCTGTCTGGTTTCATTCATATTTCTAACCTGTGTAAGGCACAATGCCCAGCCCTGAAACTGTAAAAAGAAACATAAACAAAAACCTCACAAACACAAATGCGTGAACAAGAGGGTGGGTGAGTGACTGGCTAGATGAGCAGATAAATAAGTACATTGCAGGGTGAATGCTGGGTAAAGGGAGCCCACGCTCCCCCTTTCCCGGAAGCACTTTCCTCCTACAGCTGGGTGTAGGAGAGGATGGCTAGTGATGTCACAAGGAAGGGAGGGGGTTGGAACCTGAGTGGAAGGTTCCAGAAGCCTGAATGGGGCAGGAAAAAGTCATCTACTCTAGCCCCACCCTCCACCATCACTATCACCCTGGCTGAACTGAGGGCATGACCAGGGCTTCTGGGGCGACCCGCCGCTGACCAACTCTGTGCAAGGAGGAATACCTGGGTGACCAGATGTCTCCATGTGTGACCCAGAGTGGCATCTTGTGAAGGATGGCGCTTGGTAAGGTTCCCGCGACGATCCCTGCGTGGGGCACGTGACCATTTCAGAAGAGAACCCACACTAGGGAAGGCAGAAGTTCACTGTTTCCCACAGAGGGAAGATGGCCTTGAACTTCTGATGCTCCTCTACTAGCTCACGGAGTGAGGCTTGAGTTTAGGTTCCTAGACACACACAACAGCCAGGCACGGTGGGGCCCTCCTGCAAACCCAGGACCTGCAGTGTCAAACAAGATGGTGCACTGTTCTGAAGTCTGTGGGAGTACACGGGCAGTGTCTGAAAGCCACTGTGTATGTGTGTAGAAGACAGAGGTCAGCTTGACTGCCGCCCTTCTGCCGCCCTAGTGTCTCTCCTAGAACCGGAAGTTTGCTAAGTGGATCGGGTGGCTGGCAGTGAGCCCCAGCAATGCCCCTGTGTCTGCCTCTCCAGAGGGGGGTTACGGATGCATGCCGCCACACCTGAGACTTGGCATGACTGCCGGTGTTTCAAACTCTGGTCCTTGTGCTTGGACTGCACACATTCTCCAACAGAAACATCACCTCAGGCGACCTTGCTCTTGAACTCTTGTTTTGTTTTGTTTTGTTTTGAGACAGGGTCGCTCTGGGTATCCCTGCCCATCCTGAAACTTTAACCTGTCTGTAGACTAGGCTGGCCTTGAACTCACAGAGATCCACCTGCCTCTGCCTCCCAAGTACTGGGATTAAAGATGTGCACCACCACGGCGTGGCAGCTTTTTGTATTTCTAATCTTGTGGAGAATTAAAATGTTTTGATTATTGTTATTGTTCAAGAGCAGGTCCTGCTGCATTGTTCAAGCTGCCTTGGACTCTCATCACCGCCTTCCAGACAGCTGTGGTCACAGCGCTCACCTGCCTAGCGACAGACTTTTACAACTTACTTTATTATCTGTGTGTGTGTGTGTTTGTGTGTGTGTGTGCCTGTCTCAGGAGTGCCACTGTGCACGTTAGATGTCACAGGACAACTTGGGGCAGTTTTTCTATCATGTTGGTCCGAGAAACTGAACTCCCTACAAGCTGTCTGGATGGTCCAACAAAAATTCTGAGAAAAAAAGAGAGGAGAGGAGAGGAGGGGAGAGGGGAGGGGAGGGGAGGGGAAGGGAGGGGAGGGGAGGGGAGGAGAGGAGAGGAGAGGTTTCTGAGATCCTCACCACTGAATACATTCTAACTTAGAAATCATTCCGGGCTGAGACTACACGGTCCTGAGCCAGGGTCTAGGAGACATCGCAGCGGACGGACGGCGGTTGGCTCCTCTGCTCTTCTTGCCAAACTTCATCTGTTCCCTCATTGGCTCAGCGCCTGTGCAGTGTGTGACGCATACTTCTTGTGACCTGGAAAGACTGAACCACCAATGGCTCTAGAAAAGAAGGCGGAGGACCCCGAGAAAGGCATGGATGCCACCCCAGGTCTGTGATGGCCAGGGAGCACTGGGGAGGGGGTAGACGCCTCGGCCTGCAGGGCCATATGGCCATCTCAACCAAGCTTGTCTGGCCTGCCGGGCTATCACAGTCTTCCTGGTTGGGTATAAAGTAGCAAGCGATTGGCAGTTTGAAGTTTGGTCACCTGGGTCACAGGTGACACCTAGGGGCCTTTGTCACTTACGGAGTATCTAGCTTCTGGTGTGATGATAAGACTGGCCTAAGAGGGAGAGTGTCAGCTGAGGTGGGTGACCCCACGTCCCAGGCGTGCCACAGGCGCAGTCTGGACAGCTCCCCACTGAGGTTTGCCAGGCTAAATAGTGTCAGTTGACAAAACTAATCACGCAGATACTTTTTTCTTTTTTCCAAGACAGGGTTTCTCCATGTAGCCAACCTTGAACTCACAGAGATCCACCTGCCTCTGCCTCCTGAGTGCTGAGATTAAAGGAGTGTGATACCACTGTCCTGCTCACACAAATACTTTAAAAAAAAAAAAGGCTATATGGGGCTGGAGAGAGGGTTTGGTGGGTAAGATCCCTGGCTGCTCTTCAGAGGACTTTGTTTCCCTTCCCAGACCTGTGTGATAGTTCAGGATCATCTGTAACTCTCTGACGCCCTTGCCACACCCTCATGGGCATCAGCCACAGACATACATTCAAAAAAACGTTCTTGAACGTAAAATTTGAAAAAAAGATTGTGTGTGTGCATGTGCATGTGTGTGCATGTGTGTGCACGTGAACATGATCACACGCATCTCCACCATGAAGAGCTGACAGCACCTATGTGTTGAGACAGTGCCGGGGTGTGGGTGACATCCCAGGAGCCATTCCTGTTAGTGACTTGTGGTCATCATGCAGGGACCATGAGATGCACTGAACAAACCTCAGGGTCAGTGTGTGATCTGAATGGCTCTGCTTACCCCTGCACCAGCCCTTCTCAGAGAGGTTGGGGTGAGTGGCAGCTTCTGTGACTCCTTCTCCAGCAGTCCTGATCTTGCGAAAACTCGTCTCGGGGCTTGGGAGATGACTTCACAAGCATGGGGGCCTGAGTTGGACCCAGAGCCCATGGCCACATGCAGTGGCTCCTGACTGTGACCCCAGCACTGAGGAGGACACAGCTCTTGACCTCTGGCCTACATGTGCACCTGTATATATACGCACTCATTCACACAGATGTGCGTACACAGGTACAGGTATCCACACGTAAGCACATGACCATCAACACACATGCGCAGACACACGCGCACACACATACTGTCAGCCAACCTGAACAAATACCTACTCACCCTCTTTGTGTGACCAGAAAGACTTTTCCTGAGGAGCTGCAGCACTCAGGGCCACTCCCCAGGTAGGGAGCCCACAGCAGACCGAGTACAGACACCACCCAAGTCCCACTTGGTGGACCATGAGCTTTACTGGGGTCACTGACAGGCCTGTGGGTGAGGAGAGACAGCTGCACCCCCAAGGCCACCCCAGTGTAGGTGACAGCTCACAGAACTGGGCACCTGGAGCACACTGCACAGCCTGCAGGGCCACAACAGGCTGGAGAGCATCCTTTGCAGACGCCTCAGCTGCTCTGAGCCTCCTCCAGGCAGCTGGGCGGTTCTAAAAGCATCTTTCGGCCGTCCTCACCACTGTACACATCTGCGAGGGTCTTAGCTAGGGTGCCAGTTACTGGGATAAACACCGTGACTAGAAGCAACTTGGGGAGGAAGGGTTTATTTCATCTTACAGCTCATAGTCCATCATGAGGGAAGTCAGGGCAGGAGCTGAAACAGAGGCCCCAGAGGGTGTTGCTTATTGGCTTGCTCCCCGTGGCTTGCTCAGCCTGTTTTCAGGAATACCTGCCCAGGGAGGTGCCACCCCAATTGCCTGGACCCTCCCCCATCAGTTATTAACCTAGAAAGTGCTACCCAGACTTGCCTACATGCCAATCTGATGGAGGCATTTTCTCAGTCCAGGTTTCTCTTCCCAGACACGTTGTGTCGGGTTGTGTCAG